ATTTTTCTCTTTCCCCTGCAGAATAAACTCCCATCCTCCAAACGCCACTTGTCTCCCACTAACCTTCTCAGAATGCTCCAACCGTGACACATGGCAGGCGCATGCAGCGGAAAGGTGAGTGCATTTTGACGTGTCACGGTGCATTAAATAGTGATTAGAGATTGAATTAATGTGTACTAATTATCAGGTTCTCACAAGTGGTAAAAAACCTTTCTTAGATGAGGATGATATTCAGAAGTTTCCTTATTTTAAAGCAGTGATAAAAGAGACACTCAGATTGTACCCACCAGCACCGTTGCTTGTACCAAGAGAAACAAGGGAAAAAGTTACGATAGATGGTTACGAAATTCCAGCGAAGACAATGATATATGTGAATGCTTGGGCTATTCATAGAGACCCTGGGGCTTGGGAAGAAGCAGAAGAGTTTATACCAGAGAGGTTTTTAAACAGCACTGTAGATCTTCGTGGACAAGATTTTTGTTTCATTCCGTTCGGTGCTGGTCGTAGAATGTGCCCAGGTTTGAATATGGCTTTTGCTACATTGGATGTTGTACTTGCTAACCTTCTTTGTTCCTTTGACTGGGAATTGCCGGAAGGAATGAAGAGCGAAGACATTGACACAGAAGCGTTACCGGGACTTTCACAGCATAAGAAGAATCCTCTGTGTGTCTTGGCCAAGTGCCAAATGTGAATCCAAAAGTTCTAATATGTGAACTGTAGAAAATATTAAAATAAGATATTAGTAGTAAAAGAAGTAATAAGACCTATTTTTCCCAAGCTTAGCATTAAAATAAGTAATAAAGACCTATTTTTCCCATGCTTTTGTTGATTAAACGGATTTTAACACTATGTAAAAAGATTAATTTAAAAAAAAAATAGTTTTAAATTTAATTATATATTATGTAACATGTATGCATATAAGTTAATTCAATGTTAAATATAAAAATGGAGACTTCACATAAATAAATGTGGGAAGTTTTATATAGAAAAGTTGTAAGCGGAGAGATTTTCCATCTCTAAGACATTGTTCACTTGAATAGATTTGGAGAAGAGTGATTGAGAGGATTAGAAAGTTAATTTTTTTGTTATTTATTTGAGGAGATTTTGAGGTACTGAGTGAATTTGAAAGTAAAGTTTGTGAGAATTAGTGTAGGTTTTGATTCACGTGACAGATTAAAAAAATTTATTTCCAAATCTACTCTCATGTATCTCCAAATTCACTCAAAGAAACAACAAAAAAATAGACCTTCAAATCCTCTCAAATCTCCTCAATCACCCTTCCCCCAAATTCATTTAAATGAACAAAGCCTAAATCTAAAAAAATATAATATAATATACAACAATAAAAAAATAATCTACTCAGGAATTCATAGTAACACAATAAAAAAAAAATATATATTTTATAAAATAGTATAAAAATAATAATATTAAATTATTAATTTATATTTTAACAAACAAATAAATTAAATATTTAAATTATTCAAATATTATTAGACAATTTACTCTTTAAAAAAATCTTATTGGTAACTTACATAATTAGAGATAATATAATAAATAAACTTATAAAAAATAATAAAAAAATAAAGAATTATTACTGATGAATTACATATTAATTACTTAGAATCGACTCAAACTTATTTAGTGACTTATGTTTATTTGGACTTACATTTAAAAAATAAACTAATTAACTTCTTTTTCACCGGTGAAAACAAGTTGTTTTTCCTATGAATTTGGAAACTTTATATTATTATCTTTTTCTTCACAAATTTCAGGCATAGTTACGAGGCTGTTTTTAATACTGTGGAAGATTGTTTTCCAGTTAAAGTCCTACAAGAGGAGTTAGTTTTGTAAATACAGAAATTCTTAATTTATAAAATTGATTTCTTGTGAAAGAATTTAATTAATTATTATATAGTATGATATCTAGGCCGAACGGTTAGCATCCAAGAACGATCGGTTTATCTACTGTAGCAACACTCGTTAACAAGGTCAAAGGTGGACAGCGCTGTCAACCAGGTCAAACCAGGTCAAACCAGGTCAAACCAGGTTAAATGATGTTGGGTCACAACGCTCGTCAATCAGGTCAAACCAGGTTAAATGATGTTGGGCCACAACGCTCGTCAACCAAGTCAAACTAGGTTAAATGATGTTGGGCCACAGCGCTCATCAACTAGGTCAAACCAGGTTAAAAGGTGTTGGGCCACAATTGGGCCAACATTTAAGTTATTGGGCTAATAATCCAGCAAAGGATAAAATAATTAAAGATATTTGTTTAAAGATATTCATACAGTTGTTTATGAACAACCGACCGGATTTTAAGGTAAGTCTATTTATATTTTATTAGGCTTGTGATAACCTATAAATATAGGGCCAAGGCTAAAGACCATGTACGTTCTATGCACTCTTCACTACATCCAAATACTCAATAGTGATAACAATTCACTAAATATTCTATTGTGAGCAGAAGCTCTTCCAACACAGTCCTAACTTGAGCGTCAAAGTGGCTTTTGTAGGTACCCTCCCCCTCGGCTCGGACTTGAAGAACTTGGAGCAGAAGATTCAGAGGTGAGAAGAAGGAGAACCACGTCAGCAAAGGTTAGACTCTCGGTCCTACAAATCCCTCCCGAAACATTTTGGCGCCCACCGTGGGGGTGAGAGCAAGCTGAAGAAACCCAATGGTGACCACAAGAAGCATGGAGGAACAATAGAACACCTGAGATTTGATAACACAGATGCAAGCGCATATGCAGGCACAAGCATGAACCATACAATGACAAGCCCAAGCACAACAAGAGATGCAGCGGAAGCATGTATAGGAGATTGCGACGTTAAGGGTGGAACGAGATCGCACTCGGTGTCAACTATCGAACGGGATAACAACCGCGAGAATGAAAACGATGGAAGACGTAATCAACAACTATCCCAACACACAAACCCGAACGGTCGAGGATGAAGGGAACCAACACCCCTGCGAACCGTCCGACCTACAAGTTTACTCCCTTCTACGACGACCATTATGCAAACTCCAATGCCCGAAAAGAATCCTCCTGCATTAGAGAAGTATGATGGCTTGACAGACCCCGACAATCATTTCAGGATCTTCATCAATGCAATGATGTTCTACACGGACAGTGATCCGGTCATATACAGGGCATTCTCCTTATCACTCAAGGACGAGGCATTGGAGTGGTACAACACTCTTCCTCCCAACATAGTGGATTGCTTCGTCACTGTAGAAACCCTCTTTAGGAGACAATACACAGCCAATCAGAGACAGGAGATAACACTGACAAAATTGGTAAACACCAAACAAGAAAAGGACGAAACTTTGAAAGCCTTTATGAAAAGGTATAATGAAGCCGCACGGCGAGTTAATGATGTTAATCACACTTTTATTATCAACAACCTGCCTTCATGCCTAAGGCCGGGATATTTTGCTGAAAAATTATATGTGCGACCACCAAAAACAATGGATGAACTTCAGGAAAGGATAACTGAGTTTGATCGTATGGAGGACATGAGGAGCTCAAGGAAGAAACAACAACAAGAAGCTTCTACAGGCAGTAACGAGAAAGGTAAGGTCCCTTATTCGAAGGATTTTTCCTGAACACCTAGGTTTACTCACTATACAACGCTTAATGCACCGAGAACAAAAATTCTGAATGAAGTGCTTAATGCTGATCTCCTCTCGGTCAAAAATGTTGTTACACCGAGAAACGCAGATGGAAGGAAGCATTGCTAATATCATCGGAACCAGGGACATACTCTCAAGAGTGTGTAACACTAAAAGATGACCTCGAGAACCTTATCCGGGAGGGTCATCTCCGTAAAAATTTGAAGTAGGAGAAAACACGAGTCAAAAGTCTGTCAAGAAAAGGGTCTGCATGAGGAAGTCCCGAACGGTCATATAGAAAAGAGGAACGAAGACGTAGGCGAAGTTGCAGCCGCAGTCATAGCCCTGACCGCATAATTCGGGGGCTATCGACTAGAAGATATAACAAAAAGCCCTTCGTAATGGAATACGACTCATCACAAGTTTACTTTAGTTAAATTTTGATGTCATGTCTTATTTCAATTAAATTTTTTTGATAAGAATTACGTATTTGCACTTTTGGTATGAATAAAGCCAGAGAGTTTCCCTTCAACCACATGCATTCGGCCGTTCGGCTTCACAACACAGGTGACAAGATCCTACACATGAATCATTGGGCCAATCGAGAATTTATCATCCGATCCACCTCATAAAACCCAGGGACATTATCCGAAAAACTCCTGGTCAAAACCGAGCGGTGATAAAAGTTCTCAACGAACTGTCACTCTCATAAACAAACCCAGGGACGTTATCCGAAAAACTCCTGGTCAAAACCGAGCGGTGATAAAAGTTCTCAACGAATTGTCACTCTCATAAACAAAACCCAGGGAGCTTATCCCAAAAACTCCTGGTCCAAACCGAGCGGTGATAAAATTTCTCAACGAACTGTCACTCTCGTAAACAAAACCCAGGGACGTTATCCGAAAAACTCCTGGTCCAAACCGAGTGGTCATAAAAGTTCTCAATGAACTGTTACTCTTGTAAACAAAACCCAGGGACGTTATTCGAAAAACTCCTGGTCCAAACCGAGCGGTGATAAAAGTTCTCATTGAATTGTCACTCTCGTAAACAAAACCAGGGACGTTATCCCAAAAACTCCTGGTCCAAACTGAGCGGTGTAAAAGTTCTCAAGAAACTGTCACTCTCTTAAACAAAATCCAAGGACGTTATCCCAAAAACTCCTAGTCCAAACCGAGCGGTGTAAAAGTTGTCAACAAACTGTCACTCTCGTAAACAAAACCAGGGACGTTATCCCAAAAACTCCTGGTTCAAACCGAGCGGTGAAGAGCGTTCTCTGTGAACTCTCACTCTCGTCCTAAACCGAGCGGTGTTGCACGTCCCCAAGGACTAACACTCTCGTCCACTAGGAAGTTCCAAAATGAACTCCTAAGTCGAAAATCCGAGCGGTGAGGAATGTTCTCCATGAACTCTCACTCTCGTCCTAAACTTAGCGGTGTTGCATGTCCCCAAGGACTTACACTCTCGTCCACTAGGATGTTCCAAAACGAACTCCTAAGTCAAAAAATCGAGCGGTGTTGCACGTCCACAAGGACTGACACTCTCGTCCACTAGGAACTTCCAAAACGAATTCCTAAGTCAAAAAATCGAGCGGTGGGAAACGTTCTCCCTGAACGCTCACTCTCGTCCTGAACCGAGCGTTGAGGAAACTCTCACTCTCGTCCATAAAACCCAGGGACGTTATCCGAAAAACTCCTGCTCCAAACCGAGCGGTGATAAAAGTTCTCAACGAGCAGTGAGGAAAAACTCCTGGTTTAAACCCAGGGACGTTATCTGAAAAACTCCTGGTTTAAACCGAGCAGTGAGGAACGTTCTCTCACTCTTGTCCTAAACTTAGCGGTCACAAGCATTCGACCATTCGGCCTCCTCACACGTATTCAGCCAATCGGCCTCAAAGGTGTTCGGCCATTCCACCTCGCAAGTACTCGGCCATTCAGCTTAACAGATATTTCGCCATTTGGCTCAAAAGGTATTCAGTCAGTCGGCTTCATAGTGCAGATAAACAAAATGCTATCAAAGTCGCTAGTCAGCGTGGGAAAAAGTTCTAAAAAGAATTCCCATCATAAGCCGATCGGCCTAGTCAAAAGTTCAAAAGGTAACTCCTAAAGTCCACCATTCGGTCAAAGACGAGTAACGACTCAAATTACAA